GGGGGGGGGCGCAGCGCCCCCCCCAGCGCACACCAGATCCAAAGGTGAGCAGTGCTTGCTTGCTTGCTTGTTTGCTTGCTTCCTTGTTTGGTTTCGTCTCTGCAAAGCGAACAAAAGGAAAAGCAAACGCAAAAAAGATAAAGGAGAACAGCTGCGAAAAAGAAAGACAGAAAGACAAAGGACCAGAGGACCAAGGGACTAGCGGACCAGTGGACCAGCGGACTGCAGGGGACCAGCGGACCAGGACCAGCGGACCAGAGGACCAGCGGACCAGAGGACCAGGGGACCAGCAGACCAGAGGACCGGCCACCTACACGACTGGGAATTCCAAGGGATTTCATCCCACAACGAATATTTTTTTGGTTGATTCAGTAAATATTCATTTTTTGATTCGGTGAATATTTTTTTTTGATACCTATGCCTTTGGGCGTTGGCCAGAGGTTTGCAGCTCCAGAGAGGCGATGTGTCGACATCGTGTTCAACATGCGCCCCAGGCATCAAGACCCGGGTGACACGGAGGCAACCAACACCTCCACACCATCTGGCAGCTTTGTGCAGCCTTTGACTTGGAGCAAAGATGCCTGTTCTGGTCAGCTTGGAAGCTCAGTTTGAGTGGTTTGTGGAAGGCGCAAAACACCGCTGGCAGCATGTCAAGGGGCCACGTAAGCCTTGTAATCCAAATCATCGACCTTGGCTTGAACGTGGATGGCGAGACCTAGACGCGCACAGCTCTCCAGATCCAGTTGTCCAAACTTGTGATGTCATCGAGCGCCCCTTTTTTGTTAAGGACACTTTCACAAGACGCTGCAAAGTTGATAGCAATGGCCTCCAACCTACCAGTGATGGCCTCCAACCTAGAAGCGATGGCCTCCAACCTAGAAGCGATGGCCTCCAACCTAATAGGGATGGCCTCCAACCGAATAGCGATGCCCTCCAACCTAGAAGCGACGGCCTCAACCTAATAGCAATGGCCTCCAACCTAATAGCGATGGCCTCCAACCTAAGAGCGATGGCCACCAACCTAATAGCGAGGGTCTCCAACCTAATGGCGATGGCCTCCAAACTAATAGATCCTAATTGCCTCCAACCTAATAGCGATTAATGCCACTAGCTTCGAAGTAACTTGCAAGGTTTGTTGAATTCCAGTGATTGCATGAGGACTGTAAGATTCATGACCATCTTGGAGTATGAGGAAATATGTAAAATATAAGTATTTCACAAGCCTCTGTGAAAAAGAGTTTGTACAGTTTGCTATAGTTTTCTGCTTCATAAGCAGCAAACAGTAGCACTTGAATTCAGGAATTCTGTAGCCATGGCCTTGGAGGTCTTTGATCCGGTCATGAATAGTTCTTGCACCGAACAAACACGGGGTCCAAGAACTCACAAGTGCCTAGGCCAGTAGTAGGAACCAAAACTCTGAGCCTGGAGGAGTTCGAAATGGTCCGCAAGGGAGTCTTCGACCTCAACAAGACACGGCCAGAGTGGGATGCAAAGGAGTGATGGTCAGAATTGTTTTTATACACGGCATGCAACGTCCACTTGCAGCGAATTTAGTGTCCCCCAACTTGGTTTTACTTATTGAATGCTTCCACACAATAAAGGGACCTCTATGACTGAATTTACCTCACATGGATGCACCTGGCCAGAATATTAGAGCATATGGCATATGAAATCCACTTGAGTCGGGGTGCTGGTGGCTCAAAATGGACCAGGATGCTGCGATGAGATGAGAGCTGCGGAGCAAATGCTGTGACTGCCATAGCTGCTATGGCCTGTGTTGAACTGATGATGTGGTACATATTCACTTGCTGATCTGCGCAAAGGTGAAGAGCAAAAGTGGATCGAAAAGGAGAGGAGGGAACCCCAAACCATCAATGAGAATCAGTTCTCGAAGCCATGATGCAATCCCAATCCGAAATAGGGTGAACTCAGGTAGCCCGGACCTTCTGATAGAAGGGGACCTCATCTCCCTTATCTCCCTTGGCACACCTCAAAGGTCATAGGTAACTGTCGCCTTAGTCAGTAGTCTCATAGGTGTGAAACTCGGGCAGTCCTAAGCTCATGGCGACATACAAGATCTTCAAGTTTGTTCAAATTGCCTTTGGCTGCATTCACTCGGCATGTGCCTTTGTCGGGAAGAGTAACTATTGTGGCACCTTTTGCAAGGGCATAAGAAATCTCGGCATCACCTTTTCGACTCAGAATTTCTAGCTGCTAGGTAGCAGTGCACCAAAAACAACAAGTATACACAATACAAGTACCCAACTTTGCATCCACTGATGGGTGCCCACAAGCAAATCTAACAAGGATTGAAGTGGAACTCGTTCATCCCCTTTCTGTCGCTGACTTTTTTGGTTGAGGAAGTTTGACCAGCTCCAAACCACAGTACAATTCACATTTAACTGTGTTGCCTTGTGCAGTGAGCGTCTCTCCAAAACTCTCTAAGGACCTGGCAAGCCTCAAGTGTGCCACCTTGGCACCAAGGCAAAGCGCTTGCAAACAGAAACATGGGCCTCAGCGACGCAGTTTGCGGAAGGTATGCAAAGAATGAGGGATATGATTCGGATATGATCAACGTCTTAGTTCTATCAACCAATGTCATTGGTGAACTCCAGCGATCTCTTACGGTTTCAGGATCAAGCTCCAGGTCTTGCATCATCAGGTGCTTGCACCATCGGAAGACGTTGGAAATGTGGTTCCAGGCTCCAGTTGCATTCAAACAAAGAGCAACCACATACAAGTAGGGCCTTTCAGGGATTGCTCTAAAACGCATGAGCGTCGACAAGCAATCTGTGCTGGTATGAAAGTCTCCAAAATATCGCTGCCGCGTTTGTGTGGGCATCTCATCAGGCTTTTTGAAAGCGAAGCTGCAAGGGTAAAAAGACTTCTGTTTGCAAAGGACCGGCTGAAAATGTGCCTGCAATCCACTTGACACCCGTTCATATTCTCTGCTTGTCATTGTCCAAATGCTTCAATGCCAATTCATTTCTATTTGGTCCTGGCGTGAACTGTCTTGCCATGAAGTATCTGTGTCTGACATTAATTCCGGGTCTGTGCACTAGCGCAACAACGCTCTCTAAGCTTGCCTGTGAGTTAAATCGTGACCC